ACCGAATGCCTCGACGAGCTATGTTTTGTAGTGTAGGAGTAGATTGGAAGAAAGCTAGGGGCGGCCAGACCAAAACATGGCAGAAATCCATGAAGTCACTGACTAGTGCACTGATTCGTGTTGGTAGATGTAGACTACCTGGTTGGTGTTAGCGAGACGATAGTCATCAATGGTTAGAGGAGACCTTGAACGACATGGCTCAAATTCGTTTGCAACGGCACAAGTACATCCATTCTTTGAGCTCTCTCAAATCCTAATCTTCTGGATTCGTCAGCACCTCTACCTTTGTCTTTCTAACCTTATCTCACTGAATTATACTTCTTAAATAATATCTTCAAACCTTAGTCTTCTTCATTACCGTTAATACATCTACTACCTCTATCACTGTGGTATTTAATTTGACATTTGCGTCTCTGTGCTAATAAGGTATAACAACATGAACTTATGTACATACGCGCGAAGTTCTACGTTGCAACTTACTGATACGACAGGCTACTCTAATCCGATTGTCCCCACGGACCCCACTGAGTAAAACAAGAAGACTTGATATAAAGTAGAGAACGTGTATTCTACAAACATCCAGAAAGTACTTGGTTCGAGTCCAGAAGAGAATCAGGATCATAAAATGTATACAGATAATGCATATTTATACTGTTAGATTGAGTAGAAAACAGCATTGAAGTCTGTGACATTGACAGTTAAGACGACCAATCGGAAAATAACATTGAAGTGTGTGTGACACTGATATTTAGGACGATCATAATATTGACCAGTAGGAATTGACCAATAGAATTAGAATGACAAAGGTAATAATTCTCTTAAGATATTTGATAAATATCCCTAACAAAAAGAGCATAGATTATTTGTTGTTAGTTCTTTGAATTTATAATAATAAAATAGAAATCCATATACATGTCCTGGGATTGACGATTGCGGAAAAATATTTATTATCATTATTGGTAATGTTCGTCAAATGATATGCTTGAATGCTATTTTACAAGTCCACTTTCCTCGATAAACAGAATGAAAAGCAATGACTATGACACACGATAGGTTATTCTACTAATCTATTTGTCCCCGGTCACGGCTAACTATACCAAGAAGTCCTGATAAGTTTGTGTAGCTGTTGGGATGATTGCCAGGTGAAAAGTCCCAAACGAATCAAAAACCAAGAATAACCACGTTATAGAACAATGATATTTATTGATTAGAAGTCGCGTGATATATCTAAATGATATCACGTGTTCAGCCAGACAGCGAAATAACAAGAACGATCAATTCAGTCACAGGATTCGGAAGGTTGGCGCTTGATGAGTTATGGCTTTTAGTACAGATAAACAAAAAAGGTGTACAATAAAACAGTTATTGTTATACATGTTCAATAATAATAAGTATTTGTATGTCAGCAACTATGTTTTCTCCATAAAATAGTTCCACAACAATGTGTAGAGAGTGTATTCTACAAGCACCCTGAAAATTACGAGGTTGACAAGCACACAAACTGAGCTCATTAATACAATGATAGAAACATCCTTGGGAAAGTCACAAAATAGCGCATTAAAATAAGCAATCAACTAATGACAGTCAATGTTTATCCGAGCGGGAAATGTAAGTTGTACGTCGACTGGCGCAAAAAACAAGGTCGCGTTTTAAAGGGAATAAACCTCTACCTGTATCAGTCTTTGTGTTCTTTGTTTCACGTCGTGGTTCCTTGTTTTCAAGCAACAGATATTGACACTCACTGAATCATTATCACAGAGTCCAAACACCCCACTGGTCTTCAACATTACTAATGCAGTGTTTCTACTAGATGTAAGCAATTCATCAGGGTCAATTTGCGTACAAGACCTTTAAAGATAGCGATATTCAGACACCCTCAACCGATTATTTCATTCCAATCATCCGAAGGTGGACCTAATATCAAGATGTGACGGTGTCCCCAATACATAACTAGTACACCTACAACCTGAACGGAGAAATAAACCTGCTCACCATGAGTTCGTCTTTCAAGAGTTTCGTATATATATATACGAATCCGTCGAAGCTGGCATGCCATATTAGCGCAACGAGATAAAATAAAACTCAGAGTAGTAGGGATAGTAACAATATCTAAAGTAGTAGGGCAAATTATGATCGACTTACTTTCGATTTGGTTAATGTTTTCCAGCGAGTTAGTTTTCTACAGGATGGAATCACCAACCCCTCTCCTTTATCCGAGTTTGGAACCGGGATCGACTTCACTGATTATGAGAAAGCATTTGATGACGTGGACAGTACAACACTATGAAGGCTCTCTCAACACTACGTCGTGCCTCATAAGACAGTCAACATCATACGGAACTCTCGATGGATTAGACCGTGAAATCGTGCATGAAGAACAGTTCACAGAGTCGTTCGACGGAAACACCAGTTTCAAACAAGGTTGCTTACTCTCACATTTCCTCTTTCTCCCGGCAGGTGACTGGATTATGAAGACGTCAACAATTGGGGAAGCTTGGGGGACACAGTGAACAGCTAGGATGCAACTGAACGATCTGGCTCTTCTATCCCATATGCGAAAACACATGCGGGATAGGACGACCAGTGTGTAGCAGCAGTCGTAGGTCTCAATATACACAAAGGGAAAACCGAGATTCTCCGATCGAACACGAAATGCACCAATCAAATCATACTTGTGAGTGAAGCTTTGCGAGCTGTAAAAACCTTTACCGATCTGGGCAGCATCATTGATGGATAGGGTGAACCTGATGCAGATGTGAACGCGTGGATCGGTAAAGCAAGGACAGCATTTCTACAAGTGCAGAACATCAGGAACTCAAAACAGCTATCAACCAACATCAAACTCACAATTTTCAGTACGAACGTCAAGACAGTTCTACTCTATGGGGAGGAAACTTGGAGAACTACCAAAGCGATCACACAGAAGAAGATTCAAGTATTCATTAACAGTTGTCTACACAAACTACTCCGGATTCGTTGGCCAGACACCATCAACAACAACGTACTGTAGGAGAGAACAAACCAGATTCCAGCAGAGGAAGAAATCGGGAAGAAGAGCTGGAAGTGGATGCGACACACATTGAGGAAAGCACCAAAACGCGTTACAAGACAAGCCCTCACTTGGAACCCTCAAGGTTAAAGGAAAAGAGGAAGGCCAAAGAACATAGTACAGCAAGAAATGGAGACATACATGAGAAGAATGGACAATAATTGGACAGAATCGGAAAGGGATGCCCATGAGAGAGTAGGTTAGAAAATGATGATCGGCCGCCTATACTCCACAGGGGGTAACAGGCGTAAGTAAGCAAAAGTATGTTTTTATCTCCAGCAGCACCAATACGTTTATTTCTGAATATTGAAGCAAAGAGACATCTAGGTAAATGTGTGCCACACAAGTAATTGATTTGTGAGTGAGCTCGAATACTGCCTGGACGGCAAAATCGAACCGGGTGGTTTTATTGGAGGGTTGGTCACATCCCGAGCCGTTGATCCGAAAATGTAATCTAAAAAGCAGTGTAGCAACACCATATAGAGTGCGGGTGTTTTAATCCTCCATACTCGACAATCCTCTAAAGCGCTGGACAATCGATTCCTGTCCTATCAATTTCGTAAGTGATACTAGTGTGACAAGAAGGTAGTGACTTAGTACGCATGGCTATATTAGAGCATTTCAAGAGTGAAAGAACTCTTCTCACTCTCACTTGTACCGACAAGGAAAGGCATTCAGAGTAAAACTGTGAACTATATAAATTCTTCTGACCACCCTAAGCAACAATGCAAGCATGTTCGGGATGCGATTTTTCCCCTCGAAATGCAAAATGTTGCTTCAAGATTGGGTTGCATCGGCACCTGAACTAGTGATAGGGAGTGAAGTAGTCGAACGTGTAGACCGCTTAACTTATCTTGGGAGTCTCATCAGTGCTGATGGCCTGGTGACTGACGAAATCTCAGCTCGGATACAGAAGGCTCGATTGGCTTTAGCCAACCTGCGTCACCTATGGCGCAGGCGAGATATCCGTTTGTTAACTAAAGGACGAGTGCACTGTACAGCAGTTCGGTCCGTCCTACTGTACGGATGCGAGACTTTGCCGTTAAGAGTAGAGGACATCAGTAGGTTACTAGTCTTCGACCACCGATGTCTCCGGAGCATTGCTCGTGTATCAAGCGACAACCGTATACAGATACAACGCAGAACTTCGTACATAAGTACATCAGTTCAGGTTGCCATACCTCATCAGCATAGAGACGCAACTGTCAGTTCAAATCCAACAGTGATAGTGATAGTAGAATTATTAGCAGTAATGGAGAAGATCAGGGAGCGAAGATATGATTCGAAAAGTATAATTCAATGAGATAAATTTAGAAGGAGAAAGATAGAGATTATGAGGAATTCAGAAGGTTAGAATTAAAAAGCACACAAGGAGTGGATGCACCTGCGCCATTGCAAACAATTCTGAGCCATGTCATTCAAGGTCTCTAACCATTGGTAACTTTCGTCTCGCGGACCCCAACCAGGTAGTCTACATCTACCAACATGGCTCAGTCCACTTGTCAGTGACTTCATGCATTTCTGCCATGCTTTGGTTTGGCCGCCCCTAGCTTCCGTCCAACCCATTCCTACATCGCAAAACATAGCTCGACGAGGCACTCGGTGGATTAGAGGCATACGTAACACATGTCCCAACTACCTTAACTGATGAAGTTTCATTACTTCATCTATTGATCTGCCATTCTTACCTAGCACCAGTTTCCTAATAACACCGTTGCTTACTCGAGTGTCCCACGATATACGAGCAATCCTTAGAATACACCTTTGATCGAAAACCATTAACCGACGAATACCTTCTACTCTCACTGGCCATGTTTTACAGCCATAAAGTAAAACGGAGCTAACTACTGCGCAGTACACTCGTCCTTTAATCAGCAAATGGATATCTCACCTGCACTATAACTGACGCAGGTTGACAAAAGCCAATCGAGCTTTCTGTATTTGTGTTGAGATTTCGTCAGTCACCAGGCCATCAGCACTGATGAGACTCCCAAGATAAGTGAAGCGATCAACACGCTCGACTACTTCACTCCCTATCACTAGTTCAGCTACCGATCCAACCCAATCTTGAAGCAACATTTAGCATTTCAAGGGTGACAACCGTATCCCGAACATGCTTGTATTGTTGCTTACTTAGAGTAGTGAGAAGACTCTGCATTCTGTCAACATCTTCACCGAATAGAATTGTATCATCGACACATATTCTAAAATCAATAAGATAGACAGATAGACAGACAGATATATATATATACAAAAAATAATATCATATACATAATTCTAAATGAATCATTCATTTTATAGTACACCTACGAAGATGGATGAATTATTTTGGTAACATTTTGATCAGTTTGAACAATAACACATTCTTCCACCCAATCATCACCGTCATCATCTGCTGTTGATGGTGTTTGTGACCAACATGAATTACGACATGTAAATATTAATACAGTGACAATATTCAATAACCAATTCACATTCACTGTGTCAACCTCTTGATTATGTAATTCTGTAGGCATAAATTTCAATGAATTATTTATTGTAGCAAACAGTTGTAATTCAAATACACGTTCTGCATGACAACGATGACAAATGGAATAATTTTCGCGCTGATTATCATTATTTATTGAAAGTTCGGCTGCTAGTGGTTGCAGTGGTTGCGGTGGTAGACCATTGAAAATCGGTTGTCCACACCAATCATAACGAATATCTTCACAACCATATTGATTGGCTTTACTAGTAATATATGTCAGTAATGTATCACTGAATGTATCTGGACCAGCATTATCATCTTCTTCAATAAATTCTTGATCGATTAACGCTTTCTTGGACCATTTCGATAGGAAATATTTCATGGACAGTAGTGGGTGGGATTCAGTGTTCATATCATTGTCATCGTTACTGACAGCGTCATCATCATCATCAATATGGTTGGTTGTATCGATTTCAGGTTCTGTAATAGTATGATTATTATTATTATTAATACTACTAATAGTATTAGTAGTAGTATCTTCGTAAATATCAATTGAATAACATTGAAAACGACCATTAAGATAAGAGATTTGCTCGTTTCGATTTTCCATTTCACAGTGAATCTAAAATAATGAAAGATAATTGAAAATAATACTAAACAATGAATTGATGAGAGAAAGTAGTGTTTGTTTATACTTCTAGTCTTGACAATTTTAACACGACTCTTTCAAAATAAGAAATCGTAAAAACATTACATATGCACAAGTTTCATTTATGACTCAGTTCGAGCGATGTTTTGTGGTGTAGGAGTAAGCTGGAAGAAAGCTAGTGGTGGTCAAATCAAAACATGGTACAAATTCATGAAGTTTTCTCACAAGTGGACTGAGTCATGTTAGTAGGTGTAGACTAACTGGTAGGAGGTCCGTGAGACAATAGTAACCGATGGTTAGAGACCATGAATGGCATGGCTTAAATTCGTTTGTAATGGTACAAGTGCATTCATTGTTTGTCTTCCCTTAAAATTTTAGCTTTTTGAATCCCTCATGACTTTCATTTTTCTCTTCTCAAATTTATTTCACTGGATTATACTACTGGAATAACATTTTCAAAACCTAATCTCTCCGATTATTGCTTATTTGGTCTCGCTTGCTGTTAGGGGTATGAGGGCGGTTATCACTTTGCGGCTGCCAACACCGTGGAAGGGTGTTTCTTGAGGGACCTGAAAACGGAATATAGATTAGTGCTGGTCTTAGAGACCTGAGAGCTTGACCCCAGAGCCCAAGGGACAACTGCTTGAGGCCAGTCAAGCAAGGCCTTTTTGAGTTTTCGAGTGGTAACTGCGCCCTTGAAAGCCCTTAGTGGGCACCCTTACCGCCGGAGACGGAAATCCGTGAGGAAGGGAGAGGTGTGACATTTTTAGGGTAGACCTTTTCTAACCCTTCCTTCCTTGTAAGAAGACAGCATCGCTGCAGATGCTGGTTGTCTGAGGGAAACACCTTACTGCTGTCACACCCCTCCATCACAGTCAGCAGTACGACTTCGACCTCAGACTTTGGGTATTTGCTTTTAGTCTCATCGTTCTCCAATCGACCTGCCTGGCATGGTAGGACCTTCAGGAACATATGTTCCAGCAAATATAGTTCAGTTGGGTCATGACGATAGGCAAGCCCGACCACCAGGTCAACGTAGCAGCTCCGGTCGGTCTGCCTGTCTGTCTGATTACTGCTCATAATTCTACCACCCCTACTAATATGGGATTTGAACCGACAATTGCATCTCTGTGCTATCATGGTATAACAACTTGAACTGACGTACGTACGTACGTACGTACGAAGCTCCACGTTGCTGCAGACTGATTGAATTTTGAATCTACCTGTTTTAACTACAAATCATAATTTCCATGTTTGTAAATAAAATTCACTTAATTCAGAAACATAAAAGTGTGATTCAATACTTTAAATGATAAAAGCAAGTGTTATCAAACAATAAAAATTACTGAGACAGGAAATTCACACTTCCAAGATAATCGATTTCTTTATATGCACAAAAGTTGCTAAAACCATATTAATTTTGTTTACATAAGCAGATATATATGTGTTACGTATGCCTAACCACCGACTGCCTAGTCGAGTTACGGTTTGCGGTGTAGGAATAGGTTGGAAGAAAGCTGGGAGGGGGACCAGACGAAAACATGGCAGACGTCCATGAAGTCACTGAGAAGTCAGTCAGTCAGTCAGTCAGATGCAACGTAGAACTTCGTACGTAAGTACATCAGTTCATGTAGCAGCCATACCACATCAGCACAGAGATGTAATTGTCAATTCAAATCCAATGGTAGTAAAGG